TACACAAAACAGAACTACAGTGGCTCATTTCAACGAGAATATAAGTCAATGAGTATTTTGACAAGTCATAAACATTGACCGGATCACACTGTCCTTGAATCAGTAATTTGAAGAGTATAGCAAAACTAAACTTAAGCAGACCTAGGTGGAAGTCATGCATCGCAAACTTTCTATTCGTCCCTAGCGCGAATTTCACAGACTCACTAGCACACACACTCATATTCATATGGCATAATCGGACTCAATTTCAATTGGATTGATTGAAGTTTTCCGCCTTGTTCCTCAGTACATTTCAAGATAATGACCTCTACAGTATGACGTTGAGAGGATGGAATAGAGGAAGAACCTGAACAGAGAGTATTGAAGCTAATGATAATATTGAAAAAATACAAACGAAGTTCACTTATTCGTCAAAAAATAGAATGAAGACGTTTCATAGAGGAACCACATCGAATAAGCACACACAGGCCTTCCCATAGATGTCATTTCACCAAAGATCGAATAATTCAGGATACCAATCAGAAAATAAAATCTGGCTATGAACCATTCTATACAGTTGAGAGATGCTTTTCATGTAAGGACCGGAGTCACACAAGGCTGTCTGCTATCCGCTTTCCTCTTTATTTTGATGATCGACTAGATTATGAAGATTTCGACATTTGAGGGAAAATACGGGGTGCAATAGACAGTTGAGAATCAATTAGACGATTTGGACTTTGCAGATGACTTCATCCTCTTATCTCGTACGCACGAACAAATGCAGACGAAGTCAACTCGTGTAGCAACAGCCTCTGAATCAGTAGGCATCATCATACAAAAAAGGAAAACCGAATTTCTCAAATTCAACACATGGAACGCCAACACAATCACACTATATGGCAAAACGCTTAAAGATGCAGAATCCTTCACGTACCTGGGAAGTATCATCGATGAACAAGGGTGATCAGATGCAGACTTAAAAGTAAGAGCCGAGGGCGGCATTCCTTCAATTGGAGAGCATATGAAACCCGAAACAACTGTGAACCAATATCAAAGTCAGAATACAGACTTCAAAACAGTTCCACTGTACGGAGCTGAAACACGGAGGACTGCTGCAACCGTACTCGAGAAGGTACAAGTACTTATGAATAGATGTTAAAAAAGATACTCAAAGTCTATTTGCCGGATATCATTAGTAACACCTAATGTGGGAGAAAACAAACCAGCTTCCAGATTGTGAGTAAATTAGGAATAAGACGTGTGTTGGTTTTTCGCCTATTTAATGACTGAGCTTTGAATAGAACTGTTAACTTTATACTTTCTGGGTTGACAACTTATCACTATAGTTATCTGAAGTTGCGACGGAATACATTTAAACAGTGTTCGTCGGTGATGAGAAGGCATCAAGTTGGATATTCCCAGCGGACTCGTTGTTGATTGCAGCTATCACAATACAACGTATACACAATTTTGCTAATTTGAGAACAAAATTTTGTGAAACTCCGGTGAAGAGTCGCAGTTTATATTTTATGAAAACCAGCAGGCAAACATTACATACCATGCTTGATATTTTGTCAACAAGATAACATCACTTAGTACGTAAGCAAAAATAGGGATATACATAGTCACATAATGAAATTGTCAAACACATTAAAATGAATAATTAAATAATAGATTTCCTATTGAAATAAGGAAAATAAACAGTCGCTCAGAATAATAAAAACGGGTTATTAAGCGTTTCTGGGACTCATTTCAAGTCGTTTCTAAGAATAATTCATTGATTTTCTACTTTTATACAACCATCTCCCCAAAATACAAACGATGCATAAAACAAGAAAGGTGATGACGAAAATTATCACAACATATAAGCACTGAAGTGTTTCGTTCTGTTCACTGTCTTCAGTTGTTTCGGTAGTCATATCCTGGACGAAACAGACAGTTTGATTTAGTTGTCAAAACGCAAATACTCACCGAATATTGATCAGTCCGTTCAGTAGTTTCCATGAGGTTCTCGGCCGGTTTGAAAGTACTAACCTCAACGTGACTGTCATTCACTTTCAAGCTGTGAGCATCCTTATCAGTAATAACCATGCACGTGTTTGTTCTTTCACACCAAAAACAGGTTGTAGTCAATGTTGACGCGTTGTTGCATGCCTCACTCGAATTGTATTTTGGACAATAGGCTGTGAAAAGAATAATGCGATTTCATTTCAGGTTATCGAATACAAGGTAAGTTAATAACAAGACATGAAACGAGAAATCAACTGTACAATGGTGATTTGTAGATCACTGAATATTTCATTCATCGCAAATTCAGTTGTTCTTCGACTGAAGATTCATGTTCAGTGATGTTGCCCGTTTGGAACAACAAACGAAGGATGTCACTGTTTTTCCACTCATCAATGACATTTTTCTTGCAAATTTTTCAGTCGACCTACGATGATGAAATATGTGGACGTGTGTGGCAGCATTGTTCTCTGTGTGTTGTCAGTTAATGTTCCAGATTATTCGGATCGAACAACATTCTTTGATGATATCAGTAACAGCTTTTGGTCACTGGAACATTGAGAGATTCTCTCAGAGTGATATAATCTCCTCTTTCATTTTCTCACTATGATTCTAAGTGAATTTCATCGAATCAAACACTTCCATATTACTCCGAAATAAACTCTTAATCATTTATAACATTCAACAATGAATTGACGTATTTATTAACGGTAAGTGTAACGTCCGTTGAGACAGATGACTGCATGTTATTTAATAGTAAAATACAGTTACAAATGAAATTTTGCAGTTTGATAAAACAAAAGTGATGTATTCAAGTGTGAAAATAATTATTGCTGAATAAACAAGTTTCAACGTACTCCCGATGTATTCAAACTCCACCGACATGCCATTTTTTATCCATTCATCAGGAACAACAAATTCATAATCTTTCATGTGTTGAGTAAAAAAATAAAGAAAAACAGACTTACAATTTTACCATGTTTATTTGTTACAGGTTGTTTGCACCATTTGAAAAGCTTTCATAATAAGAACTTAAGAAACAATTCTGATAAACGACACAGCGGTGATAATCCGAAATCTCAAACAGTCATAGTTTAAATCGCTATGATTTTTCAAAATCGATCAATTTTCAATCAGTCAGTAAGACAACATATCGACCAATTCTCAAATTATTTCATAAAGATAACTGTCTGGCATCTTCCAACAACTCTCGTTCAAATATGAAATCATTTTTTCATAATGCAAACTACAATAGGCAACACAGTATTTTAAAGACCAGAGGAGAAATGTGGCTTGAATTGTAATCAGGACGCATGTTTAGTCTTATTTAAGAATTGTCGTCTGCACGTATCTGAACATCAATTTTGATGTTTATTTTGAGACGAGTACTCACCAATTGCGCTTTCAACGACGTACCGTAACACACTTAACTACTCAGTTTAGACACAATGGCCTGTGGTAGGAGACGAATTTTTCATTTATTTCAGTATCGTTTAACAAATCGCTTCGTTTGATCATCAGGAATGCAATTGATTTCGATGCCAGCCACCATCTATCCTTGCTAGTGATGTTTATGAATCAAGGCAAACTCAAGATAGTCAGCACATGATGCACATTTATCTGAAGGAGACTGATTAATCGCAGTCCGAAGCACCAATGAGAGGGTTTGAGCAAACATCACAAAAGTGTCAATTATCTTCAATGTTCAAAGACTCAAAAATAAATGTCGTCCGAAAAATGTATACCACTTGACCAAACATTTAGTTCATTTTCTCACATTTCATCCTAAAATAATGTACTTGCCTATCCGCCTACACTAGATTGTCGTCTAGAAACTAAGCTTCTTGTCTTAACAACACATTAATATTTCAGTGAAGCATGACGGTTGAGCATTTTGTAAAGGAAATATCAGTTCGAAGTACCACTCCTTTATTCCTATCTCACACAATACACACATTCATTTTACGTTGAGTTCTCACTGTAGTACCATGTGTCGTTATTCATAAACCCCTGTCTCGATCCGTCAACCGTTAACCATAATCGTGATATTTTCAAGAATCGCCCTCCACACGTTCGCGATAAATACATTTAAAAAGCTTGGTTGTTTTACTCGGATTATATGGTAAAATGACAGTGAGCAATATCAATGATGAAATTCATTATCCATGAAATTTCTCAGGAAGAACTAAACTTATTCGGTTAATATGAGTTTTCTTTTGTTTGCTAGACGTAGTCACAAAATTTGAAAACTTTTAGGATGGGAATTTATACGGTTTGATCCACTTGAATCTTACAATTTATGTTCAGGATTGCGATTGATAAGTCGCATATTGACATATATGCATACTGTGCATATTGCCACAATATTGACAAAGTGGACATCAAATCTGAGAAGCAGGTACATTCAGCTGACAAGTCGCAAATTGAACGAAACGTGTGTCCTGGATTTCACTGCTAGTCACTATCAAACATTGCTTAACATTTCAGTACTCAGCTACACCGTCATTCATAATCTAGTACGCTACTGCAATCACAAGACAAGAAGTGTAAACTTTTGAGATGGTGATTGAATGTTGTCAACAGGTGACTCTGGAGTCGGATTTCGTGCTACTTGACACTCGTCAGCAAGGTTTACTTGTAATCTTGAGGGAACTGGTGCTCTCTGACAGATTCGATCTCGTGTCACCCAACCTCATAGTCACAGACGTTACGACTGGGCAATCGGGCCACGAAACCCGGGTCCAGGGTCTCATGTTGGACACCTCCAATCACCAACTCATCTCGACATAGTGCACGTAGTGTCGAGTCACCTAGACTGGTGGCCACATTCCAACTTGGTCGATAGTGATGGATCTGCACTAATAAGGACTTGACACATATAACATCTATCATCACACAGTGATCAACCAATTTTAAATGTAAACTTTTATTTGACCTTGAATACTCAATATTCAGTAACATATGGATAGTGTGTACAACAAAGTGTTGAAAACATTCGTTATAAAGATTCTTACCGTTTCTAGACTTGTTCACATAGGCGATCTTCGACAACCACTTTGTTTCATCAATTTTTCTAGGAACCTGAAATTAAGAATTTTTGACGTTCGTGTCAAGATCTGCCAGAATACAAACGCTTATATCAGAACCATTTAAATATTGTACTAATGTGTCATCATTCCGATTATCTTAATCAAAGACATATTTACAGACTAACAGTAAGTATAATGCTAGTCAACATTTCCTTAGAAGAATGTTTCAAATAGTCCGCATATATATTCTGAATCACTACAGTAGTCAAGTTTAGTCAGGTTTGATGAACTGTTTATATTTCATGGATCAATGAAATGTGACTATAAATAACTGCAAAGATGTTGTAATCAAAATATTTTACAACGATTTCTATGATAGCCGATAGTAAGAATATGAAATAAATGCTGACAGAATATTACAGTTTTTCCGCAAAGTACTCCAACATACATTATCTGGTACTATTCAGAACGAACACGCTAACGATTGGTTGCAGCCTTTAACAAGTACTTGAAGAAAGTGTTTTTGATCACTTTCTCTCGTGTTCAATGGAACTTGTTACATAAAACATTATTGATACAAATAAAATAATAGAGTCATCTAAAGTACTTGCAACAACATGATATTTTCATTCAATTCTACAACTCACATTGTCATAATAAAAAGATATCTTCCCATTTGGATAAATCAGATAAGTTATATTGGACGTAACCTCTACAATAAGAAGACTATCGGTACTTACAAATTCAGAAATAGATAATAAACAAGTTAATGTTAGACGTAAAAACTGCATGTGTCTATCTCTAAAGAAATCAGATTTCAGTAGATAGTAACTGTGTTATCTGAAATGTATTCTTCAGTTGAATTTGTTATAGATACATTCGAGTAGACGTCATGTGAATAAAATGAGCAATAATCTTTCAAGAAACAAATGTAATATGTACAATTTCTGAAGTTTTATTACTGTTGTTATGTGATAGAAAGAATAACAGCACTTGGATCAACCAGCAATCAACAAGCACATTGAAATCGATCCAATTTATCGACCAGTCAGGATAATTATGCACAAATATAGGAACAAAAATCGAACTAATGAGAGACACAACCAGAACAAAGAAGTAAACAATGACAAATTTCAAGTCAATAAGAACCAATCAACATCGAGTTGTACGGAAGAAGCTGTGAAACGCATGTGGAGAAATTCGAACACTTCACTTCTACTTGAAGTTTGTGCTGATAACGTCGTTCAGAAGAATGATGAAAGCTTCACGACTGAACCATCCAGCTCAGAGAACAGAACTCCATCAAAAACAATAAGTCCCCGAGATCATCATTAAATTTGGATAGTCGAATGATATTCACTTGTGCGCAATGTTTTCTGTAAGGTATTTTTTAACGATCGAATCTTATTATAAATGGCATTAGTTATGGAGTGATTGTTTACAAAATGAAATCAGTAACTGAACTAGTACTTTGATATTTCAATGAATCAACTGACTCTGATTATAACTTTTGTTACGTTATCCTAACGTGTTCTTAATTTCACTTGATAATATTAAGGAATGAGCATAGAATGAGTTTATGTGTAAATGAATAAGTTATATATACATGAATTGACTTTTTGGACAAACGTAAATGAGTCTTTGCATTCATTGATCTACGTTGATCAATATATCACTCGTCACATCTGCTCTTTCCCAATTCATTTCAACTGTTCTTCAAGTCTCAATCAACGACATCAAACAGTAAAGTTGAAGAATCCTTCATTTTTCAGTTTGTTTTGATCACTTGAGTCTCACAAACTGTGAATAACCCTAATGAGTGAGTACAAGAGTGTGTGGATTTCATATATAATCAAACGGTCGTTCAATGTTCACTTACGTGTACCATCCTCCTCTTCACTTTTGATAGACCATTTAACAGCAAGTAATTCCTCTGGAACAATGAAAATTAAAACGAAAACGTTTAGATTTCTGAATAGTGAACAAATATATATATTTCACAGGTTGAAATCATGAGTCACTTGAAGCTAGACCACCATTGAATTCTGGAAGCACTGGACGGCCTTTTCGTCCTAGTATGGAACTCCTGAGCAGTGCGCATCCACGAACCCGTGACCTACTGACTTTGCGCGCCAGCACTTAACCATTAGACCACTGAGCCGGCATCCAACGGTGTTAATGTCTAACTTCAACCAATCCACGAAGTTGCGCCATCAAAAACCACTGTCTTCAGTGAGCTGATATCTCACAACACACATGGTTGAACTCCAAAGATAACGTGGATACGCTCTGCTGAGGAGCCCCATCCTAGGACGAAACGGCCGTCCAGTGCTTCCAGGTTTTCAATGGTGAAATTTACTAAAGTCTCCAACTCATTCTGAAAAAATATATATCTCACTAAATGTACGTTTTGACACGGACTACCATCACATACAAGTTATCATCTACACTCCGAGGTTTAAATGAACCGATACACTTAAATGCTTATTCATCTCACTTGAGGAAAGTTCAAGGATTCGATTGGTTTCGATGTTGCAAAGAAAGTCTCAATCAAATCAATGAAGATGAATATTTCGCTTCTGTCACATTTGTTCTAGGAGCATTTTGATGGATAAGAGACATTTAATTTCTAACAGACAACGCATGCAAAATCTTTTTGTTGAGATTCCGTTGATCATCATTTCTCATAACTGACCAAAAAGAATGATATAAACTTGATATTCTATGTGTTATATTTTGAGTAAAGTATTGTGTACCAGTGAACAGTTCATAGTCGTTCATTCACAAAGTGTCTGAGTTCGATGTTCGTAACCATATAAATATGATTACAAAGATAGTGTTTAATATTCCATGGCCAGCTGACAGAAACTCAGAGACATTAAAATTTCATCAATCAAGTAAGTGCTAGAAAGGTATTGTATTAGATCAAATATACTTCGATAGTTTGTAGACTTGAATAGTCGAAACTCACTACTCTCACAACATTGCATATCATTGAGCATATGATCTGTTAGATTCATTCAGTCCACAAAGAACTACTGCGTTAGTGAAACATCTTCTATATTGTAGTATTTATAGACCACAGAGTAGGTAATCTTCTCTTTGACAATAGCAATAATTGGTTTATGATTTCTAATCAGTCAATTACGGGGTAAATCTCTGTTTTACCAAACATTTTCATTAATACATGTTGGACACAAATGTTGTGGTACGACAACCATGCATATTGAACAATCACTGTGTAATGGTTAAGTTTCGTAAATCAATCAAGTGAAATACTGAATCATTTACATGAAACAAAATGTGAGAATAAGAAGGAATACAAACAATAACTAGATAATGCAAGAACTCACTGCTATCCAAAACCTCATATTCAGAATTGGAATCGCGTGATTGGTGACCCACAATCAATCCGAAGTACTTTTCTTTGATTACAGTCACTAAACCTTTGATGAAAACATGAATAAAAACATTTAGGAATCAACTGAACACAATAATGAATTGCATAAACTGTATATCGTTTGCTGTATAGCCTAATATTTTTGAGAAGTTGATCAAAAGAAGATATCTGGAAAAGTTTCGTTTGTTACAAGAAGCACAAAACTTATTCATTGAAGAAATTGAAGTAACTTTCATTCGTGAAGTGATATGTGAAGAAGGTAACAGTAAATTGTTAAGTTCAGAAAACATTTTTGACGTACCAGTAGAGTAAAAATCAAATCTTTTGACTTCAGTATCAAAATATTTGAACGGGAATTTCGGTGTAAAACTCTAAAATGATGCACTTTCGCTAAAACATGCAGTGAACTCACTTGTGTACCAGTGAATTTGTGGAAACTGCCATTCACAACCGGATGTGACTGATTAAGACTAATTTTCTGTAAATAACCAAATCGAAAAGACTGAGTATGTGTATTACAAACTGACTGATTACATACATATCGATGTGAGCCATTTCCATGAATTACGAACTCTTCTTCCAGTGGAACTCTTTCTTCATGAATATTTTGACATTCGAAGAATTTGTGAAGCAACACGATGATTAAGTAAGTTGTTATTGACAGATTAAATGAAAATGTGCATCTAAAATGATTCCGATGAACAAGACAACGGTATCTCATTGAATTAAATTTAAATGGTTATGATAAAACCAGTGGTTGCTTATGGTATTTCAACACTTACTTCATCTTCTTGTTCAAAGTGGTAAATCAAATTTTAAAAGAACTTCTCAGGTTTATATAGACTTTTTCAGTGTCTTGTTGTTTCGTTCTGATTCGATGTTTTAAAGTGACCATTGAGAAGATGAATTTTGATAAGACCAGTAGTTCATTGATAACCAATCATGCTGGTAGATGAACTCATCGCTAGTCAATATTCTTCTAGAAATTGAAAACATGAACTAAAATTTATGCATGATTGGTTTACATTCTTGACCCCTATTGATGAAACTTTTCTTGAATGTGAGTCAGCGTGTTTAAGAAGAAGTGGCTGGTTAACTTGTAGTTCAAAATGTATGCTGATGTGTTCATGAACAAATATATTGTTGCATTGATAGCTGTCAATCAGCTGTCAATGTGGCATTGTTTTGATTTGATTGGTAAAAATAAAAATATCACAAACTGTTTTGATTGGATGTTAAAGTTTATTCTGTCACATGATTTCATCATCGTATATTTTGAAATTCCAACCACTGATCAAAGCTTTAGCTATTCTATTCATATCAAAAAAGAAACAAATACGTTTTTATTAATCACGTAAAAACTGAACCGAATATACTGAATGATGTAGGTTGAAGTTGTCAAGGATTGTAATAAAAGAATGACATAGAGTTGTAAAAACAACAGCGTTTTTTCAGAAGTCATCAGAACGTTGCTGCGTCTAACAACCGAAGCAAAGCCTCGTGAATCTCACTGGATCACGCGAAATGGAAGCAGATAGTTCATTTGTGCAACAATAAAGGATTTCGAAGGACAATGGACGATGTGAGAGCCATGAGAAGAGCTGACGTACTTCAGATATCACTTGAAGGAAGTCAAGATAAAACTGAAGCTA